TTCAATATTTAATTTATGTTTGAATAAATCCGTCAAGTTTTTGTGGCAACCACCAATAAATGTTTATATTTAAAAAAATGAATTGGAGTAGAAATATAATTATGTAATTTAAAGTTAAAGTTGGTATTTTAACTTTAATATTACAAAAAAAAATGTTTGAGTATATTTTAAGTGTTTGTATACAAATCAGCAAATTTCAACCTTTCATATTATTGACTCCCAGGTATATTTTACAGCATTAGTTGAGAGATTTTTTTTTTCCTTGAGAAAATTTGCCAGTTTGATCAGGGTTGGAGCTAAACTCAGCAGCGCATTGGCCCTCCAGGGCAAGATTTGAGGAACCCTGCTCTAAGATTTCTCCCAATTCCTGAGTAAAAGTTGGTCTCAGCAGCTTTGTGAATAGGTTTTAGGAGGAATCTCCTAGCTAAAAACTTTTACTGCTATTTAGGAGAACTCTTAGTGCTAAGATAAAATGTTTTGTGAATACGGCCCCAAAGACAGAAGTAGGTACAGTATGATGAGACAGAGTTGTAGAAAAAAAGAATGAGAGAAATCACAAAACTCAGTATGACTGCCACAGAAAAGAAAGTCCAATCTCTCATTTAAATCAGCCAATCACATCAACAGTTAAGGCACTGCCTTGTCTTATTTCTCTGAAATGTTTGCATGTGCATTAGATGAACCATTTTTGCTAAAGAATCAACCAATCAATCGATCAATCATTCAACCAACCAACCAACCAACCAACCAACCAACCAATCAATCAATCAATCAATCAATCAATCAATCAATCACACACACCTCTTTGGTATCCCAGACCTCAGCTCCATCTGTGTACATCACCAAGAGTTTTTGGTTGCCTTTCCCAGGAGCAAAACGAATCTTCTTCACCCACCCTCGGTGTGTAGGTACAGCCCTGAAAAATGTAAATGAGTATGACATTTTAAATGCAAGCTAAACGTAACTCAAGTGTGGGATGCACAGAGTCGTATATTTCCAACTCAGACCTTTATTAGGTTTCATTTCAATTAGGATGCTGTCTAAGAAAGTAGTTTACTGAGTTTTGGAATTAAATCAGTTTGCACACATACATGCATGGAGACACATTTTACTTGCAGATTCTTTAGTAATACATTTGTACCTTGAAAGACGAGCTTTTAGGTCCCAAAAATTGAGGTTTCCATCTACATCTCCCAGAACTAGGGTGTCTCCTTTCCATGCAATACAGGCAATACTCCCCATACTGCCCTGGAAGACAGTAGAAAAACTTCAGTGTCTTGCACACAAGACATAGGACACAACTATAATGTTGATATGTGATATTACCAGTTCTCAGACATTTGCTATTTGATATGGTGCAAAGTTAAAATTTCAAATTGAAACACAAAGCAAAAATAAAGTAAAAACAGTAATATTGTAAAATATTATTAGAATTTAAAATAAAATGTTTTCTATTTAAATCTGTTTTAAGATGTAATATAAATGTAAATCTTTGAGAAAACATTCTAATATGCTGATTTGGTGCTCAAGAAACATTTCAGTTTGGTCAGTGTGGTGTGAAAATGACACACACAAAGTTTGTTGTCAATATGGCAAAGCTTTGCAGAGATCCAGATTCAATTTGGAATCATGACATCAAATTTAATCATGCATTAAATGATAGTGGCTTTGTCTATCAACACAAAATCCATAACTTTTTGTTGGCGTGGTCTTAACTCTTTCCCCGCCAGCATATTTATTTATTTTTTTAAGTTGCCAGCCAGCGTTAGCATTTTTGATCATTTTAACAAAAATTTCATGGCCCCCAGAATATTCTGTTGCATGAATATCTGAACATATAATATATTAAAATAAAGAACAGACTCTGTTTTTAAACAAAACAAACCATTTTATTGTAACTTCATGCCTTTTTTTAAAATCAACACTTAAATGTGGGAAAGTTTCATTTAAAAAAGCAACAACTTAAATAAAAAGCTGAGAAAAATCACGTTTTTGTTAAAGACTAAGTCCGGATCGGATTGAGAACAATGATCAAATGACCGAGTCCATCAACACCCCCAAAGCTACCACAGTCCTATACCTCTTTGTGAGTTTAACATTTCATTCAGTAACATTAGGGTGTTTTGATTTATGTGCTGTTGCATGTTTGATGATCGTGTTATGTGTGTGTAAGCAATGTCCCTATTGCTAGTTTCTGTGTGTACTATTTCAGAAGATGTGTAATAGTGCCCCCTACCATATAACAGTGAAAACATAAATTGCCAGAAAATTCTGTCAATGGAAAGGAAAGCCTTGTGTCATAAATGACAGAAAATTCTGTCAATGGCAGGGAAAGAGTTAGAGTGTTAGATGACCTGGGTCAAATTCTAGGAATAGGAATAGATTGAAAAAGTATGTTTTCAACTAAATTCAGCAAGTTAAGCCAAATATAGTATAACTGGTATTGATGTTCTCATGACCCAAGGAATCTATTAAGATCAGGCTCATGACAATAGGCAAAACTAATAAATCATTATCATTTTAATGACAAGGTGGCACTGTCTCGAAATTTTTTAAGTACCTCAGGGCATACATACTGACTTTTGTAATTAAACTTAATTTTTTTGTAATGAGAAAATTTTAAAGGTTCAACACCCAAAATAGTGGACATGGAAATCTGATATCGCCTTGAGCCGTCTCGTGATTTTCGATCAAACTGTTCAGAAGTTATAAAACAAAAACGTCCAGTGTCCATCTCTTGACCAGTAGGCGACACGCTGTGCCAAAACTGCTTATGTCATGGATGTCATAACACCATATAACCAATAACCATATTTATTTCCAAGATGATAACTGGATGCCACTTGCTGCAAACAAGGAATAAAGGAGGGTCACTGCAATGACAACAAAGAAACAATGTTCGAAATGTCCACAATTGCATACTGAACAACTGTTTTGCATAAATAAGTTATTAAGGGGTAATTACTTTGCAGCAAATAAGTATCTTGAACATTCAAATAATTGATGCAACAAATTAAAAGAATAGATGAACAGGGAGAAAGACACTGATAATCAAGAATGTGAGTTCTTGTTTTACTGGTTATGCTGAAGAGAGATATGGGTTGCATATAACCACAAAATATGCAGTGAAATAAAAATAAAATGGATCTGAACAAATGATCAGAAATAAGTACACTGTGAAAAAAGCCCTGCAGGAGATGAAAGGATAATAAGGACAAAAAAGGGAGCAATTTTCTCTTCATCTCCTCTTTCATCAGAAAAGTTTGAAACTGCAGATTTTATACTCTCAAAACATTGAAAGGGAATGTTTGAAAACTCTTTTGATCCATACAGAGGGGTATGTAGAGCTGCATCCAGGATATTCCATCTACAGGACTTTACAAAATGCAGAATTTGCCTTCTACACATCTGGCTGATTCTTAAGTAAGACAAAACAGGCTACAAGAATGCAAAAAATAAACGTTTAAGTATTCAATTATTTTGTACTATTTGGGTGTAACTTTTACTTTCTCACAAAATGTGTGAGAAAATGTAGCATTCACAATGATATAATTATTCAGCTTATAATTTTCAGCTTTAGATCAAATTGTCACCACCATCAGATAGATAATTTTACTGACATGACCATATTTTTAAACTTTTAAATAACAATATTTTCAAATCACATGCATTAAATGCAGTAGCCATTTTGTTTAGTCTTTTCTGATCTGGCTTCACATTAATAGGATATATTCAAAATGAGGTAAATGTCTTTGTGGACGCTTTGAAAATTACAAGACCAACATTACCGCACTGTATTTGAGGGGAGTCGTGTCAACAATGGTGTTTACAGGTAAAGTAACTTGCTTTGCTTTAATGAATAAAATTTAATATAAGAGTCATTAATGCACAAATGAGATCTGTTACATAAATACTTGATGTCATTTAAATAGAGACAAACTCATGGAGTCACGTAATCCATCAAGTAATCGTCTCAAAGACGTAATTTAAAATAAAACAGCTTATTTTAATTATCTCTCTGCTGTTGCCTATGCTCATCATTAGGCTCGTAAAGTCCCGCTTTTATAAACTCCTTTTAATATCAGCAAAGTTGCACTCTTTACTTTCTCATTCATCCATGTTTCTTTATTGCTCTAACATGTTAAAAGTCCTGCCAAGTGAAATGCATGGATATATGGATATATTTACATTCAGACATAAATTGGACACATTTGGTCACAATCTCTACAATTCATTTGAAAAGTACATTGTAGACATCTTCAAGATCAATCACGATACAAAATCTTCAGCTCACTCACCCCTACTTTAGCCTATTAAACAACACATAAACCTTTTAAAACTGTAGTTTAAAACAAATGATAATGATTATGCAAAGTTGATAGACTCCCTTGTCATCTCCATTTGAAAACATTACACTTTGCACATTTAGTTTGTTAATAACAAACTAGTCATTTTAGATGACTGGAAAAGTGTTATAAATAAAAGTTTGATCAGATCAGTGGTGTTGTTATCATTGTGTCAAACCAGAAGTGAAACAGAAGTGTTTCTGCTTGGTTATTAGGCAATTATCAGGTAATTATGTCATTTGTGTTTTGCTTCTTATCTCTGGAACCGTAAGAGCTATAGAATCAAAATTCTAGCTATTACTTAGATCTTCACCAAACTTTGTACAAAGCAGCTTTAGACTAACCTTACAAAAGTTATTAAAATAATTTTGATGTTGAAGTGTTGAGAAGCTATAGACAAATGAATTTGTGTCATCATGCATTTTAACAAAATTAACCTATCTGACGAATACAAAGTCCAAACTTAACTAACCTTAATACACATATGCAACAATTCTAAAAATAAGATTCAGAATAAGCGCCAGATTGTCATAGCAAAGTCAGAATTTACCTTTTTTTTAGAAATAGCCTTTGCACAGCCAGCCTTGTAGGCTACTCTCCTAGGTTCACAAAACTGTCGTCCATAAAATGCGTTGCACAAATTCGAACATCTGGGTTGTGCTGTTCTGTTGTAAATAAATCTTAACTAATGATTCCTCATTGCATCTACTTTCGGAAGGCCAAATAAAGTGCTTTTGCTTTCGCACAGAAACACACAGCGTCTCCCTGACATGGCTGCATCAACACTACTGTGATCCCTGAATCCACGCCTTCTTTCTTTGCGTGCACATTTGGGCGGCATTACGCAAATATTTCCACATCGTGACGTAGAGATCTGGGGGCATGTTTGAATGAGACGTTTTAGCCCGGTCTGGATCAGCCTTCTCTTTTAGATAGAATAAATCCTTTTGTGGGAGACTTTGAGCTTTGTAACTCTGCAGATCTTATACATGCACAGATAGCTACATAACACACTAAAGAAAAGGAAAAATAGAAATCGCATCTTATGATCCCTTTAAATGTGAAATTAAAACCGCCAGTAGGTGGCAGCTGTTAAGTGAGTCATTGCGATTGAACCGAATTATTTAAACGGTTGATTCATTCAGAAACGAAACAACGTCATGGTTGCTCAGAGACGCAAAACAGTACTGTGACTGTTTTTGGAATGTTTTTTTGTTGGCGAAATAGCGCAAAAACAGACAACATGGTGTCTAAAATGTAAGTCTCTTGATATTAACTTATTGTTTATTGAACTGTTATATAAAATCACTATCACATTTGTAACCATGCTGATTTTTTAAGAAAAAATTGCACTCTTCGTGTGATATTGATTAACTATACGAATTGATATAAATATATACATTTTCTGCCCCCTTATCTTGAATTATGTGATCATTTTTAATGCATGTTACTAGACTGAATCATGCAGTGAAAGAACGCACTGTAAATGCCCACGCACACTAAAGCCTGTGTTGGTCTAACCAGACTTCATCCCGTCGCAAATGCGTGCCTCTGTAGGTGTGTTTTGTTTGGTTTTTGCAATATACTCAACAGTGTCATGATGTCTCACGAGTTCGGTATTTGCGCTAAAGCTGTGCAGATTTGATTTGGCTTGCATGAACTTCCCCAATAAATTAATGAGTGAACATATCAGAGAAGTATCAGAGATTCCACTATCGAGCATTGTGTCTGTGGTGGAGAAAGAAATGTCTGAGAAGGAAGTGGTTCAAGCAATCCTTAGAAACTGTAACCCACGACTTGCTAGTTTGCTAAGCGGAACCATCAAGGACATGGGAGAACTAGTCAGGATTGAAACCCAGATAGAAATAGATTTTGATGAATCCAAAAGATATTGGAGTCAGG